ACCCACTGGATGATCTTGGGCAAGTCACTCTCTCTCAGCCTCAGAGGAAGACAAGGGCAAACCTCCTCTGAACAAAGCATCCCAAGAAAACCCTGTAATAGATTCACCTTAGGGTCTCCAGAAGTCAGAAATGATTTGAAGACACACAATAACAAACCTCTTCGTAGGTTCTTATGGACCTGGGTGCACCAGACCTCTTAAGCCAGGGGTAGGCAACCTAAGGCCCGGGGGCCGGATGCGGCCCCCTGAGGCCTTTGGATCGGCCCCAGGCCAGTCCTGCTGCTGCCGCCGCCACTGCCCGCCGCCGCTACCCACCATAATGATATTGATTATTGTTGTTATTACTTGTTCTTGGGGTTTTCTTGGCAAAATCTCCACAGGGGTTTTGCCATGGCTTTTCTGGGGCTGAGAGAGTATGCATGCATATTTTAATTTTTTTATTATTTATTATTTATTTATTTATTTTTGGTGCTTCGGCCCCCCAATTGTCTGAGGGACAGCAACCCGGCCCCCGCTCAAAAAGGTTGCCTACCCCTGTCTTAAGCCAACCCCTTCCATTGAGGACTCCCCCTTGTACACTCACTCCATGCCCTGTGCTGTCTGACGGGCCACATCAATCCGCTGCACCATCTCCAGGGGCGTCTCCTGCACATGGAGGTGCTGGTAGAGGCTACTGCCGTCACACCACTGGGTGATGATGGCAAAGCTGGGGTGGGTCATGAACCCCATGAAGAGCAAAATGTTCACATGTCGCGTCTTCCTGTAAGAAGGGGTGGGGATAGAGGGACGAAGGGAAGTATCCAGCATCAAAGGCTCTTTTCACCTCAGTCAGACATCTCCCCAACAAAATGGCCACCTGACCTCTCCCCTTCGGACACCAGAGATTCTTGGTTTTACCTGAGCACCTGCATCTCATTCTTGAAGGCCTGCACTTGTTCACTGGTAGGGTTGGTGACCTTGAGGATCTTTATTGCCACATCCCCATGCCAGCGGCCCTTAAAGACCGTACCGAAGGACCCGGTTCCAATCCGCTTCTGCATGGTCACCTCTTTGGAAGACACTTCCCAGTAATAGCTTGAGTCCCGGTAGCCCAAGAATTTCTGCTGAAAGTACAGGTGGAGCAAAGGATGAGAAGGAACCACAGGGAAAAGGAAAACGTTTGGGGTTTCAGGATCATCCGTTCTCACATGAAACACTGTTCCTTCATGCATCACCACAGAGCTCCCTGCCACCTCCCACAATCCAGCCACTTGGTCTTCCTCCCAAACTCTTGCTCTTCCATGATATCTCCCATTTTGAATAGGACTTGAACAGGTCTGTTATGTTTTGGCCACCATTTTGTAATGGCCTTGGTCAAACTATCTCCCTCCCCACGCAATACTCACAGGTTTCTTTTTGTCTTCTGAAGGGGCCTTGCGCTCTCTTGGGGACTCCCCAGGGGATTTGGGGTGTGGGGAGCGTCGGCCAGGAGAAACAGCAGGCATGCTGGAAACTGGGGTAGCTGGTGGGGTACGAGGAGGCAGGTCAGGCCCACCTAACGCTGTAGCAAAAAGGAAGATGACTTTATCTTACTGGTTTCCCCCACAAAACCCTAATATCAAACATACTTCCTTATTAAATGGTAGTATTTTTGAAAAAAAAGTCTATAAAACTGGTGTGGAAACAGTAGAGAGAGAGAAGAGGTGGCTCCCTTGCTCACTGTAATGGACTTTAAGACAATTCGGCAAAATGACTGGCACTAGCTTCACAACCAACAAAAATGCCACCTTCAAGTAATGCATGACTTAACTCATGGAACTCTCTGCCACAAGGAAGTAACCATCTCAAGCACAGTACAAAGCACATATTATCAGGAGACACAGAGATGCTATCAATGTGACATATCCCAAACTACGTGTCACTGAGAACAGTGTGATATGACATCACTAGGTTGGATCCAGATTTAATTAGGCTTTCAACAGACTCACTGAAATGTGCGACTGAAGTAAGTCTACCTCAGTGATTTCAGGGGACTTCTAAGTATGACTTGAGCCTGCATCTAACTGGCTATGCTGGCATCATCCTGTGACCCTTTGTGTTCAGCTTCACTGGCTACCACTTACCTGGAGTAGGGAAGCACCAACATACTGACCTTATGTCACATGTTCTTTGCAGTTCCATGTTTGCAAGGAACAAACTGGACTGGGGTGGTAGACAAGTGTGGGAGGTCTTCCTTTAACTTACAGCAGTGGTTCTTAACCTTTAGTCCTTCAGATGTACTGACCTTCAGCTCCCATAATTCCTAACTGTTGGCTAAGTTGGCTGAGGCTTCTGGGATCTGAAGTCTAAAAACAAATGGAGGGCCAAAGGTTGGGAACTACTGACACAGTATGGGCCTAGAAGGGTTATAGCAAGGGTAGGCAACCTTTCCCCTTTAAGGGCCGAGGGACTTCAGCTCCCAGACTCAACATGGCTGAGTCTTCTGGGAACTGAAGTCCCTCGGCCCTTAAAGGGGAAAGGTTGCCTACCCCTGGGTTATAGGGATTAGACCATTCTTACTTAACTTGAGGCTCTCCAATATTTTTTGACTTGCAGCTCCCATCAGCCTGAAGCATTAGCTATACTGGCCCAGGCTGACTGGAGCTGCAGACCAATGGACATCTGGAGAGGGACATTAGTTGAAGGAGGCACTCTAGTGCTCTGACATAGACACTGAATAGAACGTGCCAGCTGAGAAGCAATTGATCCTTGAATACTAGGTAACTGGGCAAGTCAAAAGAGCAATCCACCTCATGCCCTGCCAGTAAGCTTCCTAGTACTGTCTTGGAGCCCCTGTTTCAGACATAAGACTGGGCAAGAGAGACTCCCTTGGTCTAACTTCAGAAGAAGGGAAATCTGTGGCCCTCCAGATGTTGCCAAATGTGAGCATCCTCTGCCAGACTCTGGCTAGTGGAAAGGGATTATGAGAGGAGTCATTTAGCTGTATCTGAAAGACCTCATGTTGCCTAGTCATGGTTTACTCCAAAAAAGCAATTCACATGTTGTAAAGCATGCAGCAGGCCATGTCAAGATGGCTAATACTTTCACATGACAGAGGAATCACACAAGAAACCTCTGCTAACTGACTGCTGACTGTATGGATTAGTGCAGTGATTCCCAAAGTGGGTGGTACACCCACC